TGTCGCATTTTTTTAATTCACCGCTCGCCGACGGAGAAGTTCTTTGTACTGCGACGGAGTGTATCGTTAAAAAGACAGCCATCTGTTTCATAGGACAGATGGGGATCGCTTACATATCTTCTTAGTATTCCAACAATGTTTCTCAATGTTGCTCGTGTGCCCGTGCAATCGTTCGACGACTAACGTCAACGACCAAGTCAGAAAGGAAATTACTCGTTCCTGGATATCGATGCGCACGAATCACCAAATCATACGCATCTTCTGAGATCACACGCTTTCGCCTAAGCTGCACTCGTTTTTTTTTTCTTTTTTCTTCTTCTTATCGTATAAATTACACGCTCACTCTTTCGAGGACGTCTTTTGAAGTTGATTCAGGGGGACAGTAAGTTTGTTAATCGTTTGCGCACGTCTGCTCTTCAGCCATTGAAATATCCTTTACTTTCAGGATTTTTAACTCGTTAAGGACCAACCGGTCCTTAAAACCGTGAACGCGGCGTCGTTGTAAAATCTGAATAACGTAAGTAGTTATTTCGTCAAACTAAAAAAAAAAGACCTTTGTTCCAAGGTACAAATAGTGATATAAAATAGTCCGAGTTCCTTCAAATTTCGTAAAATTTGTAAATAGACATTGAGCTTTTTTTGATCTTGAAATCCATTTTCAGAACTGCAGTATGAAATCTGTGTCTAAGTGAAATTAAAAAGACAAGTAATAAGTTTGGTCCTTAATAAGTTAATAAGACCTGAGCGCAGTTGGACATTTCCGTTTCTTAAAATATCTACTAAAGAATGTGTTTTAAAATGGCAGAAAGGCAATTAGTCGTAATTGCGAGACAACAGATTGCGGATATTTATACAAATTCGTACTTTTATGAACACAGTGAAGACAGTAGTAGTAGAAGATTTATTTCATATTGCTAAACATTATAACAAGTGTACACTACCCTTATATACGTCTCTATGTATTTTTATATCTTTAAATCTTTCAGAAATGTATAAAAACCCGCAATTTAATTATTGGCGCTCAACGAAGGTCAATCCCGACTTGTATATAAACCGCAAAAGATTAACAGTCCACCTGAACCACCGTCAATATACATTTGCATATTTTTATTACTGTTGTTGCTCTTGTTCTTGTTGTGTTACCATTATTATTATACATATGCATATCGCCGTTGTATGTATCGTACAAAAAGCTTACAAATTATTATCACATATATACGTGTACGTACGTGCGCGAACGCCTACAAAGGATATACATACATACATACATACATACATACATATATGTATATATATATATATATATATATACATATACTTGAAAATGTCCGTAGGCGCACACGCGCGTCTAGAATGCGCCTTCGCGAATGGAACAAAACTGAATACCGTGGCACACGATTATTATTATCGATCAGCGGAAAAAAAGTGTCAAACAATCGCGACAGAACTGTTTGACGCCGGCAATGTTACGATCGTCACGTGTGTTCGTGTATTCACGTGCAATTATTCGGTGGATCGATTTTTAGATTTAGATTTCAGGCGCACGATATGGCACTCGGCATATCTCTTCTCGCCGATTCAAGGATATACGCACACCTACGCGTATTCTATTGTTTCCAATGTTTTGCTCTAGCCTGTACTACGCGCAGCGCACACATACATCTGTGTACAGTACAGATTCGATATTCAGGTTTATATCTATATATATATAGGTGTATTCGCGTGTATGTAAAGTTTCGCACACCCCCTACACAGTTTCTAATCGCACTCACGCACATATAACCGATTAACAAAATAGTCTATAAGTTAAATATAAAGGAGCGTTAACGCTCCGACGCTGCCTTTGTTCCATCATTTCTTTTTTTCTTTTTTTTTTTCTTTTATTTCCCTCTATCGCTACGCCTCCCTCATTCGTTTCGTTCTCTCTCTCTCTCTCTCTCTCTCTCTCTC